TGTCTATCTTGATGCACAGCGACGCATGAGAATAGAAAAGATAAGAAAGAAAGACATAAGAGAAAGAAAGAAGCGAGCCCATATCTATGACTATATGTAGTGTCATAACCAAAACACATAATACCAAAATGAATGTTATGAAAACTTGCCTATTATAATATGAACTAAAGTATGATGAAATAGCATAGAAAGATGGAGCGTTTTTTTTCTCTATCGTTTCATACGAAAGGAAACTCTCATTCACTTTACTAGAAGATATTAAAGCGTTACTCTCATTACTTTTGGAATGACCTAAGTAGCTTTACTCATTCCAAAGAAAAATAAAGATAAAACACAAACTGTGTCTAATCCAACTTTGAAACATCAACATGACGTATTAATTTTTCACTTGTCATTTTATTGAAACTTTTCTAATCACTCAATGCTTATTTTGTGGGAATGAAAGACTTTTGATGAATCAAAGTAATAATATAAGAATTTGAGGCTTCCATACCTACTGTACAAAATCTTTATATTGAGAGCATGAATCTGTCATCAAAAAAAAGTAAAATGAAATAGTGCCATCTTATATCTCAACACTGCATTTCGTTTTTGCAACATAAAATCTGAGAAAAGAATTTTAGTGTGACATAAATGTTTTATAAACCAGTTAGTGATAAAAGATTATGATTTCAACATTTTTATGGTGAAAAGAATAATGACGGATATTCACAATTCACTTTTTGGCCACGAACATGGATATCCATGTTCGTGGCCAAAAAATGAATTGGGAATATCCCTCATTGTCTCCTTTATAATCATCTTTTGAAGTAGATAATAGTCAGTTCTATTCATATAATGAATGTTAACTCTATATTCTATATATGAATCTCGTCGGGCGACTGCAAACCGGAACCACTTGATATTTATTAAGATCTATCTTTTTCTAGCTATCAACACAAAGTGTTTTCCATAAATTTCGATCCTACAACACCTCGACATCCTTTTACGTTTAAATTAATTTCACCAAAATAGCTGAACGAAAGTTTAACTAAATGAACACAAAGATATCTCTTCGTTTACCCTCAAACATGAAAAATTCAATCTCATCTTAATTCTTCAACCCATGTGCATATCTCTGATGATCGATTGATTTTTTGCAATGAATCATTCCGGAGCTCAAGTTGGACTATACGCAAGATTTACATTACTAACAATAGACTCATCTTTCCAACCCATTGATGGTAAGTTTATTTCTTACTTGATAAACACGAACAAATCTCTGTCTATACTATTATTTTGTTTCATCAAATCACAGTGATTTCAATTCTAAATCAATCATAAATTGTATAAGTAAAATATATTATGCAAGGTTCATCTGACATAACGAATAAGAATGACTTTCAAATTCATTTTATTAATGAATATAATTACAATTTATTTCATTAGATATATTTGAAATAAAAAAAATGGAGAGTTTTATTTTTGAGGATACCAAGCTGTATGCAGACATAATTCTGGTGTTGAGACGATAAATATGAAGAAGTTCATAAACATTTTCACTGAGATTATGTATCGTTATTTATTGAGGACGTGTTTGACAGAGTAGTCTTAGATCATTAAATAGAATATAGTGCCACTTCGAAGAGTATCCTACATAGTGAACTCACTGATTTCAAGAAAATGTATTCCAAGGGAAGATTGTGATTAGGAATTTTGTTGTTTAATCTTCTTTGTGGAAGCTAGCGAAAAGTTCAAGATAAAACTAGATTTTTCTGGACTCTTTCAAGATTCAAAAAATACTATCAGGAAATAGAACCTTTCAAGTTTCTATGTAGCATCTTGTTTTTAGAGAATATTTGTATTTGTATTTGTCAATATAAAACAGACGGTCTCGATCATGCATCAAAATATTGTTTGAAACTGGCTGTGACGAAGACTATACTTTTGAATGAGAGATGATTCAGAGCAAAATTATGATATTTTGTCGATTCTGCATGATGCGTACAAAATAAAAACAAGTGATTATGCAGTGTAGAGCACATGGTAACGAACATTCAACTAACTCTTCATCAGTGTTGAATAATTGGTATGAGCAATATGGGATAGAGCAAAGAAATCGATTATATTCGTATGAAATAAACGCAATATTCAACCTAAATGTCGTTCTCTATTCATCCGAGTAAGAGCATTTGCACTTAAAAGCTAAGTTTACTTTTTTTTTACTGTGTACATATTAGTAGTCTATTGCTTTAATTCCATCTATACAATAACATCAATACAATTCAGTGTTATTTAAGTGGTAGATCCACAAGTTTGCAACAATTCAACAAGTTAGGATATAGGTTTTTAAAGGTGCTTATTTTTTTGTAACTTCTTATCATAGTTTTGCGATTTTTATGCGAAATTTTCAGAATTGTAATTCAACATAGGGACATGATGAAATCGTTGGATACTTCATCATAGCACAATTTGCCGATCGATGGTGTTGCGTTGTTATACATCGAATTTTTTGCGTAAGAAACTAGGTATATATGACTACAGTAAAAGGTAAAAAAGAAGCATGAACGATTCGAACTCGAAGCGAGGAACAAAGATTTTTTTAGGCTACATTTCATTTACACTTGTTGCACAAACAATAAATTTTGCATATATGTACATAATGACCTTCTCTGATAGTCTTTTTATATTTAGTTACAAGAAAATGCTCCTTCAAAAGAGAGCATTGTAAATGACGTAAAGACATGAGCAAGGAATAGAGAAAAAAATTCGATAAGATCATCTAAATGGTTTCACTTTTTCAATGTCTCTATCATTTCTTTACGTTGAAACACAGCGCTGGAAAAAAGGAGCTAAAGAAAAATCTGATATCTCATGTAAAAATGCGATTGCCAAAACACAAGGTTTCTTGTAAAACAGCAGTGCTTCGTTCTTGTCCTTTTCTACTGGTTTTAAAATACTAAACATATGTTTAATAACACATTTCTCAAATAAAAGTTGCTTCTTTTTCAGAAACAATCAAATAAATACGCACTTAGTTTAAATTAGTTAAACCTAACTTAAACTAATGTAAGTTTTATTGAACCAAAACAAAATTGAAGTAAAAATGCTTGTCAGTGCAACTGCTTGAAGCTGAAATGTAGAACTCACATATGCTTGCTAGACTCATTAAACTAATACACAAAAAGCAAAGCGGAGCATTTCTCTTAGGCTATAGTTGCTTTCTAGGATAATCAATCATTAAAATCTTAGCTTTTCTAATTACTGCGTTTCGAAGAGTATTTTTAAATATTTTTCTCTGAGAGCAACCTATTATTTATATTCGTTGTTTCTACTCACTCATTATTCTTTTTTTTTTTTGATTCATTTTTCTTAATTTTACAGTTCTATAATTATAAGCGTTGAATTAACTGACAAATAAGCTTGTTTTATATTTGCATGATATCTACAAAAGATCTTGAATACTCTTGTGTATATAAATCAACTCACAAATAATGACATTTATTACTTTTCGAAACTATGATTTGATCAATTTTACAAAAAAAATCTCTTGAAAGTCTGATGTCTTTTATTGCTGCTTACTAAGGTCTGTAATGGGGGTTGTTTGTAATGGAGATTTCCATTGTTAAATTTCTGTAATAGAGAGGAGAAGAGAGAGTTGCGAAACTTGAACTTAAAACTTACACTCAATATTTTAGTTGAAAATTGAGCTGAGTTTTCCAATAATTTAAGTCTATTTTAATTCAATTCGATTTTGTCCATTGGATTTGAATATATTTGACCTCTTGAAGAGTATGGATGTGGAATGATGGCATCGTCATTTTACAAATCTACACACAGGAGGATTCTCTCAATTATTCAAATCACTATTTTGTTTCGAGCTCGGTGCTTAATGTTGTCGAAAACAATACATTGTTCATAAACTTTTTGCGGCATAATGCATATATGTCAAATATGTTATGGAGGACTTTAGGTGAGATCCTTCCTTTCTGAAGAAAATTGTGTGTCTTCCACGATTAGTTACAAAACTACATGGATTAAAAAGAGTTTCGAGCAAAAAGCATAAAAAATGGAGAAATCGTATTTTTTAGTTTACGACACTTAAAAATAGCTTCTTATCCAAGTTTGAAATGTTTATGATGCTGTAATAATCTTTTTGTTTTAGATCATAGACACGTAATCATTAGTTATTTCTTGAAATGGACGAAGAAACGAAAGAATGTTGTACCAATGAACTGCAGCTGTTAATTGATCGAAAAATAACCTTATACAACAAAGATCTTCATCAGCAGCATCAATCATCACGTCTTGAGTGGGTTGAAGAATCCTGGACTCGATGGTTCTATATTATAAGTTTCGGATGGATTAATCCGCTCTTGTCCTTAGGTTATAAAAAAACATTGACTGATATTGATCTCGATGATTTGCCTCAAACAAATAAATGTTCTATACTATACGATATGATAAAGGATTCCAAATGGGGCCAAGAGACAACATGGAAAATATTTCTCAGAGCATTGTGGAAACAAGTCACACTAGTCAACTGTCTCTTGTTGTTTCTAATGATCTTTGGTATTGTCGAGGCACTGTTTATTTATCGATTAATTTTGTATATTGAAGATCATCGAAGTTTCCAAACAAAATCTTCAGCATCAGTTAGTAGTGGATATTTTTACGCTATTGGGCTATTTCTTTGTGCGTTTTTTCAAGCTCTTATCCTTCATCAAATGTATTTTTGCGCATCTCGTCTTGAATCGAGAGTTCGAAGTTTACTTTTATCCACTATCTACACACGACTTCTGTCGATTAATACAGCAACATTGTACCAGATGACCACTAACCATGTTATTGGTATTGTCACTAACGACATAGCGAAATTTGACGAATTTTTCAAAAATGTTTTCTATTTATGGGAAGCTCCATTAATAGCTATAATCTTCTTTGGGCTACTCTGGTGGGCTATCGGATTTTGGCCAACATTGTTCAGCTACATTACATTCATTTTACTGATTCCTCTACAAATGATATTAGGACAACAATTTAGTCGCTATCGTGAAAAGATAGTAACATATACTAACCAACGTATACATGCATTTGAGGAATTTATCAATGGGTGTCAAACAATCAAAATTTATAATTGGGAAAAGTATATTGAGACTCGTGTAATTCGAATACGTGAACTTGAACTAGCAGCTATTCGTCGTACATCTTTTCTTCGTGCTATTAATGTAGCTGTATTCTTCGCAGCAATGCCTTTGATTGGGTTTTCTACATACGTCGGTGCTTGGTTTACTGGACGTCAGTTAAAAGTAATTGATATCTTTATAACTCTTGGATTCTATAGTCAAATTCGTGATCCTATCATGTATGCTTTACCATTGGCGATCGAAAAATTTATCGACCTTCGACTGGCATGGCAAAGAATTGACAGACTCATTCAGCTAATGATAAAAGAAGGAGATCGAACTTTGCATACATTTGACATCGATCATTATCAGCAAAAAGGAGCAATTACGATGTGGAATGCTTCATTTTCATGGAATGGTCATGATGACTGTCTTTCATCACTCAATATTGATATTAAACCAGGCACATTTGTAGGTATTACTGGAGTGGTTGGTTCCGGTAAATCATCGTTGTTTGCAGCCATTCTTGGTGAGATAATTCAAACGAACGGGAAAATCAATGTAAACAATAGCTCTTTTTCCTACGCGGCCCAATTTCCGTGGATATTTTCTGATACACTGCGCGCCAACATTCTTTTCGAAAAACCATATGACGAGCAACGTTATAGAAGTGTTATACAGGCTTGTTGTCTCGATATTGATTTGATCATGTTGGGACCGTGTGGAGATCTAACAATTATAGGTGAAAAGGGTATGAATCTGAGTGGTGGACAAAAAGCACGTGTATCACTGGCTCGAGCATTGTACGCGGACGCTGACATCTATCTTCTTGACGATCCATTAGCTTCCCTTGATCGTATTGTAGCAAAAAGAATCTACGATCGATGTATCGGCCCGAATAGTTTGTTGAGAAACAAAACACGTTTATTGATCACACATCAAACACACTTTTTAACTGATACACATCAAACGATTATTCTCGTTCATGGTCATATTAAAGCACAAGGTCGGTTCGACGAATTAGAGATTGAGCATGAGAAATTTTATGAAAACCAAAGCAAGGTTGACGGGGAGACAGTAATATCGCCGGCTATGCTAGATATATGGCAATCATCTACTGCCAGTGAATCCATTATAGTTAGCGAAGCATCAAATAGTCATAATGTCAGCTGTTCTTTGTGGTACTCTTTGTTTATTGCACCTCCTTTAAGATCATTCGGCTTATGTTTTATGATCATTCTTCTTGTAATCGGTGAAATCCTCTATGATGGTACCTATCTTTGGCTTATTCGGTCGTCTCAACAGTCGGAAAATAAACGTTTTGATAGATCTATTGGTATTAGATATTTTGTTCTGACTATGGCGATATCAATTGTAGCAGTGGGACGTAGTAGTTTCTTTTTTTACCAGCTTTTGAATGGCTCAAATCATTTCCATAATAGAATGCTTTCTGGGCTATTACATACATCTATGCGCTTTTTCGAAAGTAATCCAAGTGGTCGAATTCTCAATCGCGTGAGTAAAGATCAACAAGTCGTAGACGAGATATTACCGGCAACATTGTTCGATGCTATACAAGTACTAATCATGACTATTGGATCTGTAATCCTCATTATCGTTATCAATCCATGGATGATACTTGTATTTATTTTCTTAGGACCTGGATTTTGGCTATTATATCGTTACTATTTGCGATCGAGTCAACAACTTCAACGCATGGAAAGCGTAACACGCAGTCCTATTTTTGGACTGTTTGTATCATCACTCAATGGCTTAGCTACTATTCGTGCATTCAAAGCTCAAAACGCCGCCATTCGTTCTTTTATGACTGTTGTTGATGCCAATGCACGTCCATATCTATACATGGCAGGTGCTACAAGATGGTTTTGCTGCCGAATCGATCTTATGACAACTTTGCTCACGCTTTTCGTTGGAGTTTTTGTTGTCGTTTTACGTAATAAAGCGAATCCAGAACTGCTGATACTCAGTTTGTTATATACCATTAATATAAATAATTGGTTTCAGTAGGTTCATTCGAAAACCATTACAGCAAAATATACAATAGGTCGTCCAGTTAGTAATCAATGAAAATCGTTGACGTCTATTTGTGAACAGTCGTGGTTTGGCATGCGTCGATTGACTGAAGCCCAAAATTTGATGACTAGTGCAGAACGTATTGATGAATATGCACGTTTATCACAGGAAGAAGACAACGGAGGCTCTAAAAGATTAATCAGAACTCCAACAGATTGGCCGAATCGCGGAGCGATCGAGTTTCGAAATTATTCACTACGTTATCGATCTAATCTCGAACCAGCTCTGAGAAATATCAATCTAGCAATCAAACCTTGTGAAAGAATAGGAATTATGGGTCGGACAGGTTTGTGAAAGATGCCTCATTTTAGCGTGAGATTTTTCACGTTCTATTAAATTTAGGTGCAGGCAAATCATCTCTCTTTCAAAGTCTATTACGTCTAGTTGATCGATCGACCATCGATGGTAACATTTTAATTGACGATATTGATATAAGTCGTATTACACTGAACCATCTTCGTTCTCATATCAGTGTCATTCCACAACAGTTCGTGCTCTTTGCTGGAACTCTTCGATCCAACATCGATCCGTTAGATGCTTATTCGGATGAACAATGTTGGACGGCACTCGAAGCTGTACAACTAAAATCAATGGCTTCTCATCATCCAGCGGGTCTTCTAATGCCAGTGGCAGAATCGGGTAGTAACTTGAGCATTGGTCAATGTCAATTAATTTGCGTTTGTCGAGCTATTCTCAAGTCAAGTAAAATATTATTGATTGATGAGGCAACGGCTAATGTTGATAACGACACTGATCAAATGCTACAATCGATCATTGCAGAAATAACTAAGAATCGAACAGTGTTAACAATAGCACATCGTTTGAATACAGTAATCGGTAGCGACCGTCTTCTAGCTGTGGATAATGGCATGATAGTCGATTTCGATGTACCGAATAAAGTTTTAAAGTGTTTTCAATGATCGAAGAATTATTCTAATGAACTTATGCAAAAATTAAAAATATCTCACATGTATAATCAACAGTCGTTCTTTTCATCTTTCAAAAGTTCAAAAATAAATGAATCATTAGGATTATTACATTAGTAATGTTAAAGCCAGTCGAAGAAAGATGAAATCGCAATAAGAAACGGCGACATCGATGAAACGAGTCGTGCTACGAAGAGAAGCATTCAATCCTAATGAATCTAAGACTTTCTAAACATTTCTTGTCTCCACACACATATGAGATGCGATCATATATTCAGAGAAAAGAAAATAGTGATCTAGGAGAATAATAAAGTCGTCTTAGTCAATTTCTCTTATCTATCCTGAAGGTGAATAAGGATCGTTGGGATAAAATTCAAGAGGCAGTTGTCCTCAGTCTTTGCTCTCAGAAGTTCATGAGGGACACAAAAGATCTTATTTGTCCTGGTCAACAAATCCAATCATTGTGTCTAGTCAGATTTCAACTCAATCTGATCGAGTTCTACTGGATTGAGTCCAGAACTCAGGGACTTGGAATTCGACGAACGTTTAACAAGAAAAGAATTTTGTCGGACCCGACAAATTTCCATTAATGAATCCAACTAGGTCTTATAGGATCCTCACCGAATTATTAAAGATCCAACAGCCTTCAGTGAGATTTTAAGCATTAGAGTTCGATAGCCCTTCTTTTTCCCATTCACTCTCATTTGTTAAATATAATAAAAAATTAAGATGTATCAGGCCAACGGTAAAAATTCAGTGACTATCTATTGCAGAACCCGGATGTAACTGCTTGTTCTTTTAATTAAATTGACTAAGTCCTCTCTCGATTTCAAATATTCTCTCTTTAGTATCTTGAAAATCATCTATCTATATCAAATCAAGGAGAATCAAAGACGAAGAATGTCAAGACGACAAGCATAATTTTCAACTTTGACTTGTAACTTCGTAAACATGAAGAGTTCAATTAAATTATCTCATATTTAAAGTTTCATCATTTTTTAAGTTTGTAATGTAAAGTTATCAATTTCTCAAAATATTAATGCTCCACAGAACATTATCAAGACCATCTATTTCAAGAAACTCATGCCTTGATTTTGTGATCTTTCAAACTGATAATGGATTGAATATGAAAGAATCTAATTGAACTATTGATGTCAACAAAGTAGGTACGCAATGTGTAAGGTATCTGAATCTTTTCAAAGTTAATTTACTGGTGTTACAGTACATACGAACATGGTAAGATGAGCATGGTACTCGATCATCAACACACTTTGAATCGTTAGTATTTGATACTTAAAAGCAATTTAACATGCTTGCATTTCTGAGTCTAACTGCTTGAAATGTACTCCCACAAACCAAACACTTTTTAAGCTAAAATTCAAGCCGTTTTAAACGAGATTATTTGCTTAAATTTCACAATTGATTCTTAGTTTTATTCTTTCATGATCTACATTACTTATTTTATCGTCGTGGCTAATAAGAGCACACATCAGATGTGGAAGAAAAAACACCGTAATGTATTGCTGGAATTGTCGACAAGAATGAATATTGAGGCAAGAGAATGTAGGTAGATGTGAATGTTATCTAATAGGTAGCCGGCTCTTGCATCCATACCTACACCCCCTCTAGCTAACTAACTATATCTTGCAAGAGGATAATGATCCTAATTACAGGTTTTGTCTGATGATCACACAAAAGACTAAAAAATAAATTCAGATTCTACTTTCGTCCTTTTCCTCATCAGATCATGATCAGATTGAATATGTTTGGTCGATGATGAAAATTCAAACAATTCAAGAATTAGAACAAGAAATAAGAAAGCCATGAAAAAGTTCGCCAATTGACTTGACTGTCAAACTGATCGATAATATGGGAAGACGAGAAAGTTCCGTGACTCAAAGAATTATGGGCTACACATCAAATTAAAATTAAAAAAAAAAAGCTTTTTTTTATACTTTTAGTTTGATTACACAAAGAAGCAGATATCAAAGACTTTAAAACGAAAGGACAACAAGGGAAAGACCTTTGGTCAGGGGTGTATATATGAAGATATACCATTTTCTATTGTAATGTAGCATACAGTTGCAATTTGTCTTAATAAAGAAGTCTTCTGTTCGATTTCAGGATCGAACTCTGTTACATAGGTGCATTGAAACAAAACTCAATTTCTTGCATACAGACGTGTAACAGCATTTCCAACAAAAAAAGACGATGTCACAATGAGAATCATCAGTAGCAGAGAAAGTCGAACAGATTGTCGATGAAAATCCCGAGATATTAACGAGAAGAATTCAAATGATAATCTTCACATTTACGCATCAGTCCAGCCTTCTTTGCACCTCATTCATCGAAGCCTAATGAATGCATACACCCACAATCATCTAATCAGTAATCGAATTCGATGATGCCTTCTTCAGTTTCATATTACATCTTTCTATTCCTTGGAACTCCGATATAACCGTTCGACTGAAGGCAACACATTCGTTTCAATATGAATTATGTTGCGCTTTAAAGACATTTGATGATGCCTGTATGTGCAATAGTTGAAGCATATTATACAGTGCATGGAATTATTCTTACATAAATACATCCACACTCACACCACACCACGGGTTTACGTGGGTATTCAAGAGAAGAGTGAGCTCACTTACCGTTCCTACCTATTGGTTACGGCTGCATCGTGTTGATCAAGAGTTGTACTATTAGTAGTATTTGATTACAACTAGTATCTTTCTGTGCACCGACATTTTCTGTGTATTCAAGACATCTTATCTCAAGGCTTTGTGATGATCTGTACATGCATCTTATCATCACACCATTTATATAATCCGTACATAACGAAGCCAAAGTGTATCTTGAAAAGATGAAATAAGTGCAAACACTAAGGAGACTTTTTGTTTCTCAATCTAAAGTAAAATCAAATAAATCTTTCTGAAGTTGATGGATACAGAAATCTTGATGATAGTATATTATACGAAGAGAACAGAGAGTATTAAATGAAGAACACACAGTTGAAGTGAAGAGAAGATTTTCACATCCACATTGACTTCAACAATTCTCAAATGAACAGGCGTTCCTTACCAAAGAAATAATGTATGTGAAATCTGTCATACTTAATTTTGATGATTGATCAGTTGTTCACAAATCTAATCTGTTATCTAGCGAAAAGTTAGTTATGAAAGTATGTTCAACTACATGCAGATTTATTATAGACGTGTAAACAAAATGCAAAGTACCATTCCTTATAGATTCAGAAGCTTGAATAAGGTGTTTTTACCATTTATGATTAATACATTTTATTTGTATATACGTGGTATGCGGTTCATGAGGGAACAAAGTACTTCTCGTTTCGACACTTTTGCATACAGAGCAACGTCATCACCAGTTATCGTTTCGCTGCCTTGCTGTCCAATAAATGTCACACGACTTCCTTACGGATATTTTCGGTCAAGACCAATCATAAGTTGATCCATGGTGATAGCTCCAACGATCGGGAATCGCTTTCCCTCGACGAGAACACCAGTTGCTTTGAAATTCTGATGCCATCCATCACCATATCCTATAGGTACAGTACCGATCCATTCAGTTTCTGTCGTTGTGTATTCATCTTCATAACTAATCTTTTCACCAGCATTCACTTTTTTCACGAGGACTAATGTTGAATGAAGAGAAATCGCAGTTTGAAGACGGAAGGAGAACAAGTATTTTAATGATTCGTTCGGCGGGCGCATCAATGCTATTCCGAATCGAACCATGTTAAAGAATGGTCTCTCGATCTGATATAGAGCAGCTTCTGAGTTCGCACAATGAATAATTTTTTTTCTTCGATTTGGAATGATCTCCAGAAAGTCATAGAAGCGTAGAAGTTGATGTAGAAAATAGATTCTGTTGTTCACATCCTCAGCGGTAGCAAAATGAGTGAAGACTCCCGATAATTGTAGATTTCGATTAAGGGACACAATCTTAATTACTTCTTGCACTTCATCTAATGTCTTACAACCAATTCTGTTCATACCTGTGTCGACTTTCAGATGAAAGTCGATTGGTTACTGAACGAAACGAGTCGCTTCCTGTACCCATTGTAAAGAGATGCCCGTCACTGTGATTTTAAAACGACTGGCTAATGGTAAGTATTCTGGAGGAACATAGCCAAGAACAAGAATAAGACAGTCTTCCGAGACTTGGCGACGTAGATCAAGTGCTTCGTCTAATGTAGCGACACCCAACCAAGTTGCGCCAGATGCAAGGGCTGTGCGAGCTATCTCTAACATGCCGAGTCCATATGCATTAGCTTTGACGACGGCCATTAGATGCACTTTCTCTCCGATGAATGCTTTGAGTTTGACAACATTTGAACTTACCGCATCGAGGTCAATTTCTATCCATGTGGGTCGCAAAAGAGATAAGGATATCCTAAAAACGTAAGAATACGTCGACACATTATTATCATGATTGACACATCACTTTCATACAAAAGCTATAGCGAAAAAAGCTTTTTTTCCCTCAATCTTTAGATAAAATGAATTCCTTGTGAATGTTCTAATGCAGGAACTTATAATCATTTTTGAGTCACTACAATGAACAATTCTTTCTTGTGCTTAGCAAGACAAGAATTACTGAAATATGAATGATGTTAATTGGTAGTTGCTAATAACGTTTTTCATATCACACCTCGAGTATCTCCTGTATTTTTTTTTGTATACTTTAAATGCATTCTTACTACTTCAAATACAACCAGTTATTTGGTCCGTCAAAATATGATAATTCTCTAGCAGAATTTGGAAGATTAGAATCAATCTTATAGATGGAACTTTTGTCTAGACATTCATGCTTCTCTACTTCGTGTGTTTTAGTGAATCAGGAGAAATTTTGATGATTACTAAGAACATAAACGTGTTATGTGCCCTCCGGTACTACGTTATTCAATGAAGCATTTAGGTTGTTATGAAAGTAACTACTTACGCTTCGAGTTGCATCGTCACACCAGTGGTGTT